TTATGGCAGTATGAGTCACTTTTGGGTGAATTGTGAAACGTTTTGGTGGTTGTAGGGCATTTTGCACCAAAGGTTAAGTGGTGTGCTCAGTTGTGTATTGGTACAGCCCACTGTGTGAAGTGTTGTGAAAAAGTGGACATGGTATTGAGACAAGTGTGAAAATGATTGGAAAAAACTGTAATTACACTTAAACTTACCTGTTATAACACCAAACATAATGATGGGAAATGCAGCTCTTAGAGTGAGGATTATAATATCCTGCCATGAAACTGCAAAATGAAAAGAAGTTATTTTTTAAAATAAAATAAAAATGGGATTTATAATTATATGTTAAATTCAACCCATCATACATCACACCAGCTACCCCTAATTATAGGAGAAATATTTAACAATGTCAAACCATTAATGATCATTCATTCCTCAAGGACAAATTAAATAAAAATTCATCATATCTGATCATGAGCTGTTAGATGATCATTTTACACACATTAGTAGCAGAAGATCCTTATTCAAAGTAAAAGCCTCTGTGACCCACATTACAGTATAAGAGCTGGACAGTGCACTGTTACAACCCTGATACCAACAGTAACTGGGATGCAGGAGAACCAGCAATCATATGGAAACACCTCATGGGAAATGTACTGATGGATTTATTACAATATAGTAAAAAGTTTCAATGCATATTTCATGAACTACAGAAATTTGGACAAATAGAAAAAAAATCATTCCTAAATTCTTCTGTTGCTGTGCAAAAACATCTAGTGATGCTCCTGTTCACATCCTCAGTGATGTTCCTGGAATCTCAGGGTGTTTTGGGTCTTTCAGCATCATACACCCTCCTCCAGGCGACCCGGCTGGAACTGATCAGACCCCAGCTTGTGTCCAGAGGCCTCATGTATAACGACGTGCGTAGAATTCACACTAAAACATGGCGTACGGACAAAACTAGGAATGTGCGTAAGCAAGAAAAAATCCAGATGCATAAAACTTTGCGTAAGCACAAATCTACGCACATTCCCTTTATAAATGCCAATGAGCGTGAAACTTTACGTACGTGAACGAGCCCACAGCCACCCCCCAGACCCACCCATAATTATGTATATTTGCATATGTAAATCTGTATAAATACCCGCTTTGTTCTATGTTTGTCTTAAACAACAATGGATAAACTGCATGTATAGCAGCACCCCAGCAGTCTTGTCCAGGCAGCGCCAACAGCCTTTAAGCTGCCCTACAGCTCCACCACTGCCGAGCCCGAGAATGGGGGGCAGCAGTATAACGCCGCTCCTGTTCATTCTGTGGGTTTGCGAGCGGCGTGAGAAGCCGCGACTTCAGTGGGTACCCACTGTCCCCTAAGGAGTTGTCAAATGATTAAATCAAACAAAGTTTACAGTATTGGGCCAAATTATAAAATCGGAAAAATCTTCTTACCGAGCAGTCAGCCATCACATACCACCCCATTTTCAAGTTTGTTTCCAACACTAATGTTTTTGAGAATGAACGAATCATGGGTTGAGCCAGGTCATCTAGCCACAACATTAATGCAGGGGCGTCATAAGCATTTTGAATCGGGGGGAACACACTGGGATAAAACTAGTGTTTTATGTTAAATGTGGGGGGATCCAAACGAATAATTATGAAATGTGAGGGGGACACGTCCCTCAGATTTAATGGCGGAGACGCCCATGCATTAATGAGATGTTTGAATCGCACATATTTTGTACATTAACAGAGTGAAAGTGCTTTTTATTTACATAAGCATAAGCAAATTCGTTATCTGAAGGTGCCATTATAGCAATGTGCGCGTAGTCGACGGCTCCGATTACATTGGGAAAACCGGACATCGCTGCAAATTGCGCTTTAATCTTTGCCTGTGCACAGTGTAAGGAAATTTTATATATCTGGGTGACAAGCGGATTATGCCGTCCCATATAGCTGGCATGGCGCGACTCAGTGTTGACTGAGAAATACCCGATCGGCTAAGAACCCAAGAGTGGACAGAACTTGTAAAGGAACAGGTATAGCACAATTCCTCATCGCCTGCCTTTGTAATGCTGGCCCCAGTTCAGCACACAGCTCCAAAAGGATTGCTCTTGGAGATCTGAATCGACTTAGAAGCCAGTCATCATCATGGGCCAAGAAATCACTAAAATCCCTGAATACTCACTCTCTTCTAATTCTTCCATAAGCTATGTCTTCCAATAACGTAAGAGCTGCCATGGTAGTTGTAATAGTTTGGTCATTTTCTGTTACATTTTATTGTTACAAATTGATTGAAAATCAGGTGCCGTACATTTGTAAACAATATACAATTAATTTTGGTGTATTGGATAAAGTCAGCATCATGATTGTGAGTTTAAAAAGGGAAACCACATGCAGTAGTAATGACTTGCCACTAAGTGCCGTCCGTTTACAAAACCAAGCAGAAATGTGCATACGCCATGTCTGGAGCTGCCGTGAGAATGTGCGTAGCGGTACGCCAAGTTTAGTTTTTATACATCACGACGTGAGCGTGGAAACGGACGTATGCAACATTTTCGTGCGTATGCACCGTTTATACATGAGGCCCCTGGTCATGCCTCCAACAGCCCCACCTCTCACTCAGTGTGTTTGGGTAGCATCTCAGGATGAGCTCCAGGGATCCATGCATGGAACACAGAGGACAGGCTGGTGTCTCTCCCTTGCCCCCCCCCCCCCGATTGGATTGGCTGGGGAGCATCATAAACAACCTGGATGAGGAATTTGATGT